CCTGGGGGTGGCCCAATGATACTGAGGACATTCTCGAGTTCCTGATGAAAGTCCGAGGGGGAAAGAAACAACTCCCCCTAATTAATCCACGCAAAGATCGTAAAGTTCTTGACCCTAGACTCAACCCCTGAGTATTTGTGAGTACTCGTTAGTACGTCGCGCAATGACGCATCCTCTTCACATAGAAAAAAAAATATCTCACATCAAGTACATAGTACATTCAATTCCTGAAATATAATAATATTTTATAAAATTATTCTCTCGGATCTTGAACATCTAATTTGAAAAAAAAAAATTCAATTCTAATTTTTTCCATAAAACAAAAATTTTGGTCATCATTAGAATTACACATTAATTTTTTAATTCTTTTTTATAATAATTATGTCTTAGTGGTCAATTGATTATAAATATAAATTGATTATATTTAATTATTATTAATTATTATTAATTTCTGCTATTCTATACGTTTAAAATCGAAATGAATTCGAATAATCATATCTTGTAACAAAAAAAATGAAATATTTCCTAATATTCACTTGCTAGAAAGCTAAAAATTTAATTACGTACAGTATTCAATTACTCTCATTGTTGTCGTCGTCATCGCTTCGTAAATATTTCTCGGTGCCACTTGAATTACTTGGATATAAAGAAGACGACAGGCTCCAATGCAATTGCGTTAAGTACACAGAGAATCGAAATACTCAGCGCCCACTTATCCGACTGTAAATCGAGCTCGTTTCGACTTTTACGATTTACCTCTCGATATTCCCTTGGCTCGCCTGTGTTTCTGATAGTCAGAATAATATTAAAGCAGGGGAATTGGGGGATGAGGGAGGATCGGTGAATTAGTGATTGGAAATTACGAGAGGTTGATTTTTTTTTTGGTTTTTATTCGGGCTGATTGATTGAGTGAAAAACTGGTTGATTGAGGAATGTTTTCACTGTGCCGAGCTTCAGGGATTTTTCATTTGTTGAGTTGATGAAAAACTCGGGTTGCGCCATGTCAGAGGGTCAAATAAAACTGAATGTTTTTTTTTTTTAAGGAATTGAATGTTCGCTTCGTTCAATCACGCGATGAGTTTTTTTGACCCGGCGGAAGCCGCGGAGAACCGCGGGGACGGGGTGAATTGGTCATTCGCAATTAAATAAATGAAAATTAATAACATTCAATTGAGGAACTTCCCTGCGACTTTGATTGGGTCCAAATAATAATGATCGCATCGCTCCAGAGGACGACCTAATCCTCCGGCCGTTAATTGATAATTATTATCCTTGATTGGTCGATTTTCCCGTATTTCCGCAATATGATAATATAATTATAATTAACAATCGATCCAGAGATCCGTGCGAATCCCCTGTCGAACTGTTTTTATGATATCAATTTTTTTCCTCGGTGCCGAAATTTTTGTACGAAACCATTAATTCCCGAGATAATCATCTAATTAATCAAAATTTCATGCTTGACTTTCTTCATTTTGCCAGCTTACCCTAGTAAACTACCCTGCACAATTTCCCAAATCCCATGAACAAAGTTTCAGCTGTGTTAAGAAGTGTCTGCCTCGAGGCTGGTTAGCATTAAATCCAGCAAGATTGTACATATACAATGTACGTAGAAACGTGAAGGCATATCCGGTGTTTTCCCAAATAGGTGTAATATAGGAGAGAAACGTTTAGCTTATCTCAGGGTGACTATCTGTGGGTTTCTAGACAAGTGGCAGGGATGGGCATACGGTCTCCATACCCAGCATCCCCGGCGGCTTGTTTTCCGCAAGAATCCTCCCCAGGTTCAATGATACTGGGGGTGGATACCTAAATCACAGAGGGTGCCAGGATAAATTTAAAGTTAAATATTATCGTGGACCTCTGCTCAGTCGAGGCATGAGATAAGAGTGATGGGAGATTCTCTCAGGAAAATTCACAAATTATTTTCACCGATTTATCATCTATTTTCCTATTATCATTTTGTTATTTATTTTTTGTTATTCATGCGCTAGCGTTTAATTTTCATTTCTCAAGGAAAGGGAATGTCAAATTTGAAATAGAGTTATTCATATAATCCCCATAAATCCCCTATATCGATTTGATGGGGTCTCCATAAAAAATATTCATATGATTTCATATGATCTTGATACTACCCCCAGATATCGTCCCTCGATTGTATGGAACCGCTTATTTTTTATCGGCGAACTTCTTATTGGAATTAAACTATCGTTTTAATATGTTCCATTCCCCCTCTACCTTTCCGTTTTCTTTTTCCCTTATTAGTTCCTATCAGAGCAATTATTTCAACGGTCATTCCACTCCAACAAATCGCAACATGTTCCGCCCTGTTATATTATTTTTTCAATGAAATTTACATCATTACATAAAAAAAACTAGAATATCGAAGACATCTACAGCCATCCGACATAACCAGTTCAAACAAAATTGATGCCCCTCCATTGAATAAGAAATCCAATCAATCACGTCCGCTACACAGCCTCAGAAAAAAAAAATATCTCCGTTAATAATCCTCAAGATCTTCACCTAAGGGGACAACTGAATTTATGTCCCTCTGGTCTCGACTTTGCTCAATTTCCTGTTGGCGGGTGGGAGGGATTGCACATCCCTAAATTTCCAGATAACATCGGCAACTTGTCCCCGAATTTCCTGGGGGATGGTGCCACCGTAAACCGCTTCTCCATCTTTGTTGACGAGATACCTCGTCAACTTCTGCGGAATAGGAAAATAGATAAACTCTTGAAGCGATTCCCGAGATTGTCGTTGTGCTCGAGGGGATGGACTTTTTGTCTGGTTAGAAACTCGGATTTTGCATTAGCATAGAAACACGTACATCCATTTCTACCTCCGACCCCTCAGCATCTCCTTTCCCATTCAAAAACTAGAATACTTTCGTTTAAATTGATGAGAGAAGACTCTTTGCCGTTTTACGACTGTTCATTCTGGTGATCTGCCTTGAGGGCTTGGAACCATCGGTCTGATGAGATTTTCTGGATTAAATGCACTGGAGAAATGACGAGATTGGTGCCAGTGATTTTAATTGCCCGCGGGATAATCACCGGGTTTATTACGAATCACGTGAATTCAGAGTGGGCAATAAATTCAACGAATTCCCCTGGACTTTTCAAATAAACCTCAATATGTCAAGGATATTCAAGCAATTTTCCCTCTTTTTTATTCCTCCGGATTATTACTAATATATATTAATAAATATCCGAGGTATCTGTTAAAATCATCGGTTAAACCCCAGGGTCGTGCATTTTTTTAAATTATTTTATTGACTGCTTCGAAGGTTTTAATTTATAACAACTTTTCAAATTTGCCGCCAATTAGGGAGTTAATTGTAATTTTTTTATTGAATATAACAAAATAAGTGATCAATAATTTATTTTCTGCCCTCGATATAATTTACAACAAATTACACCGACATTTTTTGCATACTTTTGCATTCTTTTAATGTTAAATTGACACGTTTTTAAAATGATCGATACCGATTAAAAAATCGATCACCGATTTACTATCACCTCGGATAAAAAGATAAATGACAGAGCAAGTGAAATATTCCATTGAGATAATGCTTTTTGGATTTTCTGTTACCGGATAGAGTTCAATAACGTTCATCTTCAGGAGAATAAAAACAACAAATGAAGTTAATAAATAATATACCTTGTTTTATTAATTTAGGATTTTTTTGGGATATTAGGATAATCAATCGGGTGTCTCATCGGCGGTTGGCGATCGGTTCACCAGGTGGCGCCACCAATCTCTCGATTTCTGCAGATAAAATCGTGCAGGTGATTTACCATCAGGTGAACCGATCCCTCTGATCTACAAAGCAGGTATCCCTCGAGGTTTTAAGGTGTCGATACCTGGCGCACCCTAGAGTTACCTGCACCAACTGCTACACCATCTCCGTCGTCATCCGTTAATTACTCCGACCGCGATTAAATTGCCGCAGAGTAGGGGATAATCTCGTTACTTTGGTGATCCCTCGAGGGTCATGATCCCTTTAATATTTTTACTGGCTCGGTCCTTCGTTTTCCCTTCTCAAATCTACACCAAAACGACCCACTTTCTCCGGTCAATTGCCATTTTAAATCGCAGTCGAAACACTAGGCGATATCCGCCCTTATTTACGATAACGATTCATCGATTCGCGGGACAAAAGGGGAAGCCAACAGATTTCGTAACGAGCGCGGAAATTTCTCTATAATTCGATAATAAAATCACGATTTTATAGGATCGATAATTTTACAAACGATCGATTCAATTTTCAGGTTTTTCTTTTTCATTCAATATAATTTCATTCATTTAATTATTCATTTATATTGTGTATTTCGGGGAACAATTAAGTTTTATCCAATTAATCTTAATGTTTTCGCGATCATTAATAATTATACAGCATGCGCAAAATGTTTTTTTATTTGGCGGCAATTTTTCTGGTGTGAAATTTCGGATGATTTCGCCATTCAATCATTTTTTTGATTGAAAAAAAATTGAATTATTAAGGAGTTGGTTTTAAATTCGGTATTTCTATGTTTACAGTGAAAAATCAAGTCGTCCAGGAAATAAATTAAAATGTATGAGACTGTCTGTCTGAAACTGTGCGGTTGCTTCGTGTTTAAATTACTTTGAAATTCCGTTAGAAGTGTATTTCGGGTGAAAAAGCAGTTTTGAATTTTATTCGATTTTTTGGCGTTAATTCTAAAGCTGCCAGCCATATTCGAATATTTTGGTCAATGTTATTTATGGAAAGTACCACAGATGGTTTTAAAAGATAATCAAATGTACGTGAAAACGTCTCAGATTTCATAAAAAAAGAGAAAAATAGTTGATCTCTCTACGATTTCTAAAATGGCTTTTTTCTGACGAAATCATGTGCCATTTGCATAATCTAATAATATTATTTCAATTAAACTTAATTTAATTTGAATTTTACGTGAATTTTTTAAAATTTCTTTACACTCCATTTTTCACCGCCAATGGAAGAAATAAAAGTCTTTCAATGCAACAGTATTTATTTGACCTGAACATTGGACATTTTTATCGACAAAATCAGAAATTCTACGTTACACTCGCGATTTCTGCTTTCCTTCTAGCTGATTTCAATGCGAAGCGGTCATCAGCTTGAATTACTTCTCTGAAATCTCAAAAATAGTGACTGATCATTTCCACAAGAATGTTCAATACTGAGAAGAGAATTCAATAAAAATTACGGGTGAGTCTCGTGATCTGAATGTGGAAACAAGATTTTATGGAGAAAAAAGGGAAAATTACCGAACGTAATTTTGTTTCCATCTCTAGATTACGGCACTGCACGGAGAGAAATATTCAAGAAAAATAACTGAACATAATTTGTATCGAATAGGGAACGAAGATGCATGTGAAAATAAATATATAATAGGGAAGCATTCCACGTAATCCATAAACGAGAATGATTTTACTTGAATTTCTGTAGAAATATAAGAGAAAAATCTGAAATATTCAGTAAATTTTATAAAATCTAACAGTGATTTCACGATTCATTATGTCCAAGAATTTTAACGCAACATTTTATAAAATTGACGTGTTTCTCGAATAATTTTTATTAGACTTTTCTCTCCGTGTGAGAAGTGATTTTTGATGAATTTTTTCCTCAGTATATAATAAATTTAGAATTCTCCCAAAGCAAACCTTGTCGATGTCCTTATCTCTTTCCACATCCCTTTTTACCCTTTCCTTTTTTACCCTTTTTACCACCAGGATTTAATTCTGCTACATCTGAAAATCAAATTTAAGTCTATTTTATCAATCTATTTTCAATAATCGATTGAATGAATATCAACACTCACGGATGCAGGCGAAAATAACTAAGAAAATAGTGATAAACCACGACAACTTCATTGCAGAATTTGAAATTCAATCTGAACACATGAACGTGCAGCACGCGTTTTATACAAAAAATTTTACCTCTATCGCACTAAAGATATTATTTATGGGAATTCCAAGGTGCATCATAAAAAATTGCTTTTGAATCGAATTAAAAACAGCAACGGATTGTTGTAACAAATGGGATAATAAATAGTAGAATCAGCGCGATAAGTCGTGAATATTAAAAAATATACATAATTATAATAATATAATAATTTATATCTATATTTTGACGGGAAATACTTCAAATTGAGAATTCATTTTATCAAATTTGTCCTCAAGTTTTGAAATAGTAAAAAATTCCGGATGCCACGGAAAATCGCGGTAAAGGTAATAAATAAATTATGGAGCAAATATATCTCTGGGGGATTTATTTTTAGAGAAGGACTTCGCCGGGTATTTTTCTGCGTCGCAAATAAATAGAAAAATCCAGGAATTCGTACGTCATAAAATGCGAAAATACCAATGTCTTTCGCGAACCGCTCAAACTGTAAATTCAAATTATTTATTATAATTTAAATTCAAAATGTTCAAATTCCCTGCGGAATTAACAGTTTCTTGCGCTGATATTATCCCGTAAAATTGTAACAACAAATGGACTGGCGATTTTTATCTAGATTTCAGTGGAAAAAAAAACGGTTAAATAAAAAAGTTTTAAGTAAAATTAAAAAATAACTGAAGACATTCTTTTTTCTAGCGATCGCGAGAGATAATTGCTAAAATTAAAGTACGAATTAATTCTAATTTCATGTAATTATCATCGATTGCTCATCAACGTCCTGTCCTATCTTCATAAAAAAAACTTCTTGTTTTTTATTTTCCAACGAAGAATGGTTTCTAAAATCTGTTTTTCCCCCAGACTTGACTCATCTCCCGAAGAAAATAGTAAAAAAAAAAAAATTCCCAGTCTGGATTTGCGTGAGCGTCGCCGAGGGAAACGTCTCTTCTCGAGTTTACGGTACTTTTTATGCATTCATAACGTTATATAGCCGACGGGGTAAAAAAACGATATAGTCTCACTCCACCATGGAAAAAAAAATGGCGGTAACATGGAAAATAGTGAATGATGATGGGGTGGGTGGGACAGGCAGAAGTTGGGAAAGCAGAAACCACTCTAAAGGCTATAGTTACGCTTTCGTTTAGGGGCTTTTCCAGAGCTACCTTTTCCCTCTCTCACCAACTTATTTTTACCTCTTAAACGCTTACGAGCAAGGTGATTCTAAACTGTTCCCCTTTTTTCTTTTTTCCCAGCCCATCAGTGAAATGTGCCATCTCATCGTCGTCGATTACTCGGGATAATTCTAGTTAAAAGGGGCCACTCTTCCGAAAGATAATGGCAATTTTTAGGGCCTTCTGAAAAAAAAAACAAAAAAAAACAAAAAAAACTTAATACAATTATTTAGAAATTTTTGGGTATTTTTGAATATTTTTGAATATTTTTGGAGCATAGAAATATCGATATCCCCCAAATTCTAATACAAAGAAATTGATTTAATATCGTGTAATAATTTTATTAAGCGCAATTGAATAAAACTGAAATTTTATTCAACTGAAGATTTTTTAAAGATGATATAATATTAAATATAATTTCACGAGAAATAACGCCAGAAGTCATTATAAAAATTTCAAAGTAGTTTCTCCAAATTTTCTGAATGCATTAGAACAGGTCATGAAAATTGATATCACGGAGATAAAACTAGAACTGGAATTCCATAACGAATTTTCCTGATTGAAATATTGACTGCGTGAAATAAAAAATCCTGATATCAAGAGAAGTTTTGAAAATACGGATTTCATCGATCCATCATGACGGATAGAGACCCTCAAAATTGGTGAGCCGAGCGCACCTCGCGCCTCATCTCCAAGCATAATCTCGAATAATCTCCAAAAGTACAAGAGATTACGTGTAAACTGACGTAAAAACTTTATCCCATCATGTGATCTCACCGTTGAGCCCATCGGTAACCCATGGAAAAGATAATATTATCTGGTAAACTGTAAGTTCTGGTGGTTCTCGGAGAGGGGCCCCTTTCCTGTACCTCTTCCCTACGGGTGTGATGCTAATTTCTTGATTATCAGCTCCTCTCATCGTCCGCTTTTCGTTTCCCCGTGAGGCCATTCTAACGCCGACCATTTCTACCGGTGTGATCTGTACTACAGCCGTCTATAATCTCATTCCACCTCAAACCCGAAAACTCAGGGGCCATAACCCCTGTTGAAACAGACACTGAAGAGGGAATACTACTGCCAAAATGTCCCGACATCTGCTACCACCGCTCTCCCCCTAGAAATTATTAATCCTGTCGCAAATACTAAATCATATCTGGAAGTTCAGAGGTGGTGAAAAACCATCCTTGCCAAGGATCCATTTCCATTTGATCCACTCGATCAAAATCCATTTTTTCATGGATTTTTTCACAAGGTCAATTCTCCAATTGTCCTGATAATAGTAATCATATTGCTCCAGAGGATGATTATGTGGGAGGTGTCCTTGGATAAGCTCCACTGATTATTATTCCTTTTCTTTAAATACCGAATTTGCGAAGGAGAAGAAATTGACGGAGTTCTTTAATATTGTTACCGCCATTTAATTATTGTGATTCCGCCATTGCATTCTATGTACTGATGTTCATTTACGATTGATCCATTTATTTTTTCTCCTTTGAAGATAGATTGATTATTATTTTGTTCAAGTTTCGCCTTCGGGTTGTTTTTTCTTTCGATATTATTTCATCTCCTGTTTAATTAAATAAACTTCTACTTGTCTTAATCCCACGGCCTTTTCCATGTTGTTAATTATTAGTCGAGTCTATTCAAGGTCATAACCAACATAAACATCCTCTGGAGTAATTGTCTTTATTAACACCTAGTCCAAATCACCTGGGGAAATAACATTTTTATGAAAATACGACCTTCATTCCCTCGTCTATTAAAAGGAATTCAAGTTATTTTTTCAAGTTAAATAATCAATTAATATTAATCAACTCGTAAAAATATGGCGATGAAATAAAATTACATCGGAATTGTAATTGAGTCGAAATTCCAAATTGATGAATACTGGAGTCCAAATTCGATCATTTGGTTTATAATGTTGATAATGAGATATAAAGTGTTTTTAATTACTAGTTTTTTGAGGATGTAAAGGATAAAAAAGGGAGCGAGGGAGGAATCGGGATGGAAGGAAGAGGATTCCTGTCCACGAGACCTTGATTTAGAGTCTTTACTCTCCTTTCCCAATGGACGAGATGGATTTATTGTTGTTGAAAAAATTTGAGAGCAACCAAGTTCTGTCTTCACCTTGCATTTATTAATTTCTTTGAGAATTCCTCTCGCGACAGGATTATGGTTTTTTTATTAAAGAGATTAACGGGAATTTTATGGGGTTTTTGGGGAAAAGGAATTTTTTCGGGGCATTTTAAGGGCTTTTTTCTCATTGAACTCGCGAGAGGGGGTAATTAAATTAGCTTGGATGAGATTGCAGTGGGGGCATGTTATGGGAATTGATGGTGAGGGCCGAGGGTTTTGAGTTTCTGTTTGAAGATTTCATGGGGAATTTTAGGGGATAGTGTCTGTTTATGAGGAATTGAATTTCGTTGGTGGTACACCCATCAGTTTTTGGTGGAATTTCAATTTTCATTTTATGATGAAAGTGACTGACGTTATGCCTTTGGGTTTTTTTATTTTACCCACGGCTCATTGAACAATTGAAGCTTGAAGCATGACTTAATGAATCTGACCTTTTTATTTTGAACAGCCGAAAAAAACATTTCGATATTTATAAATTATTTTCAATTTTCCCCAATAAACGATAAAGAGCGCAATCAAAATTTATAATAAATCCTCAAATGGAAATCCAGACGTCAAAATTCATCACCCACCAAGAATGAATTATTAACGAATAAAATAATATATTAAAATATATTAAAAACCCCAGAATTTTTACCGAATAAATTAATGAATTATTTAATACTCATTTCCGCAATTTCCGTGGATTTGCCTGACGCCCGCGAAAAACTCGAAGCAATCAACATCAATTAATTATTAAATTTAATTCCCCCGCGTAATTCCTCCTGGATTAAAATAAAACGAGAATTAGAAATGTTTACGGCATTCTCAATTCTCTCATGATGATAATAACGTACGAAATAACCCTTTAATCCACCAACTCCAGACCCACGGAAATGTCTTCGTTAATTAATCGCAACGGAGGATAACAGCACTGACCTCATCTCCCTCTTGGTTGTAATGGAATTTCTGAACGGCTAGGGGATGGCGAAGGTGGGATATTAAAAATTGGGAGGTACGGCAATTGTACAACATGAGCGTGTACGTACTTTCCTGCATACCCCAAGTACAATAAAAAAAAATACCATTATTCACCCTGGGGTTGTGAAAAAATTTATTGGAAAAATACTTTCAAGGGGTAGAATTCCAGTGATCAGTGGTGATAGGACAGCTATATATTCAGAATGGCTCCCCAGGTGATAATTTTGGGGGTCTGTTTGCAATGCGCCCCGAAATTTGCGGGATTAACCTCTGGCCGAGTCCTCCAAATATTAATTACAATGATTAATTGCACATGCGTTTGGATAAGTACGTGAAATTCAACACTGATTGGAGATAATGCGTTCTTTTGTATTCCGCAAATTGCGAAAAATGGAGGGGACATTTATTTGCGTAATTGCGAAATTTATTGCTAGGTTTTTCTCTCTCTGACTATTTTTCAGGAATTGTAAAATTACATTTTTTTTTCTGTAATTATTAATTGGAGGGGAATTTATGATCATTTATTGGATTTTTGAGGATCGGGGCTGTTTTTTTGTGGGTTCGTCAGGTGAACGGGAGCAATTCACGGATTATTTATCATTTTGTAAGGAATTAAGTGGTGGGAAAATACCGGAGGAGTCGCGAGGCTAGGAATAATGGAGCTGTGAAGGTTTAAACTAATCTTGACAAATTGGGAACAATTTATTCATATTGAACAGCGACCGAATGCATTCGGGGAATTCACG